TGTAAAGGTGGCAACATTTATACGGAACAAAGAAGTTATTCTGTCATAAACAACTGCAGTAAGCAAGCTTAATTCAATCAAGCAAATAAAAAACTACATTGTTGTCTACACTCAGTTATATTAGCTTGTTCTGGTTAATTAGTTCTAACTGCAGGCAAAGTTACTGGTTGGCCATTGCTTCTAGAGAAATGCCACTGTGTTGAAATGTTTCCTTCAGTTCTGAAAACAGTGCACAATTACATTTTATCACTTTTGTCCAGATGCCACACGCTTGGATGATATATATCTTGCTTGCAATCTAGCCCAAGGTTTGGAAGAGCAAGTTAATATAATATTGTTTTCTGTTAGTTTTCTTTTCTTTAGGAAAGATAAAACATAGGGATCCTTCTAACAGAGTGAATATTGAAAAAAACCTTCACAAATATTTAAGATTCCATATTAATTGATAAAATGTAATATGAATTACATGTTAATTACCCATTAGTTTTAGCATATGGAAAGAAGCAGATCACTACTAACTTGACTGAGATTACATCCATATATTATGAGTGGCACCAAAATAGGAAGAGTTTGCTGAATGGGTTCTTAGAAATATTGCTTCAGGATTCAGTGGTGTCCCCCATTTTCATTAGTATAAAAGATTACCATGCTTAGACCACTACTATTAAGACTGTATGAGATGATTAGCATATGAACAGATAAAAAAATGCTTGTGATATGCTAAAAAAAAAAAAAAGAACGTCAAGCATTTAACTGGGAAATTATTTCCTAGTAACAAGCAATCAGCTTCAGAATATGTCTTTTATATCTATATTTCCTTATTGAGTTTCCTAATTGGATTGCATGTGATTAATGCAAACTTTAATCCATGAAGATACTTTTTGTAAAGATACAACTAAGGCAACTAACTAGTTTCAGAAAAATAATTATCTGCTATATCTGTCCTTCTAAATTAAATGTATTCTTGTAATAAAGTAGCAAAAAAATAGAGAGGGAGAATATTCACACTCCAGAGATACTACTATAAAATAAAAACATTATCAGCCTTATTTTTCTTCAATTATTTTCAACATCAGTGATATCCCTAATTAATTTCATTATCAGCTTCTTTTCTCTCAATGAGAAGATAACCTTGTGGATCTTTTAAAAAGTTCAAAAGATCTTTTATGAATTTGATAAGCACATAATATTTCTGTGACATCCCCTGGCCCCTTTGGTTTATGTGTAGTCTCCTAACTCTCAGAGATCATTTATTGCACTCTTTAAGAAAGGAGTGTAATTACTTCATCTTTACTTTGGGACTAAATCCCACCATAAACACACTATAAATTGTGAGCTCTGCGAATACATCCTATGGAAGTATTGGGTAACAGAGATTCTTAAAATCTATGAAAAGTACTTTCTTCAACTGTGTCATCTTCCTGTTTTAATCACCCAATTTCCCAAATAAATCTTATCCTTCCTGAAGCTGCACTCCTATCCAGATTTACCTGGGTGTAAATCACATTGAACTCAGTAGGATTTACTTCTGAGTATGCATACACAGGAGGCTTTTACGAGGTAAGTTATGCCTAGAAGAATTTGGTGGAAAGCATTAAGTGTTGCTGCCCAACTTTGAGAGTGTCACTAAACATGTGGTTAGGTATGATTCACTTGACATGTAACCTTAGACTTTTAAGCTGCTTTTGATAAAGTACATCACCAAAGACCCCTAACTTAGCTATCATGGTATGAGAAGACAGATAGACCTGTGGATCAGAAAATAGTTGAAGAAAAGGAGACAGAGAGGAGGAATAAATGGAGAATTCTCTCAGTGGGAGGATGTAAGAGGTGGGGTTCCCAAAAGATGAGTATTGGAACCTGGTACTTTAACCGAAGTTAGACATGAGCACTGTGGTGTCCATGTTTACCAATGATGGCCAATTGTTTAGGGTGGTAAAAATAAAAATGAATTGCAAGTTTTAAAGGAAAATATCCAAACTGGGTGGGAAAGCATTAAAATGCCAAACAGAATTCAATAAACGTAAGTTTAATTTATGCACACTGAGTTGAAAAACCCTACCATCACATTTACCCAAATTAGGTCTGAACTGCTGGTGGCTGATAGGAAAGAGATCTTGCGGTCATGGTAGATAGCGCACTAAAAATGCTGGCAGTGTGGCAGCTGTGAAAAGGGCAAATTCCATGCTCAAGTTCATTGGGGAAAGCACTGAAATAAAACTGCTAATATAATGTATGGTGCAACCACACTTGTAATAATGTGTACAGTTCTGGTCACCACACCTCAAGGAAGATATTGTAGAACTGGGAAAAGTGCAGAAAAGGGCAGCCCATTAATGTTCATTTCTAATATATGAAAATTGAGTCAAATATACCCCATTTGGTTCAATTTTAAACTAGTTATGAAACAAACATGTAATATATTTGAATGAATAGTCTAGACTGCTTATAGGCATTGGGTTCTTCTAAGTGGTATATAAGTTTTGTTAATAGAAATTAACAAGTCCACATTCCTAGAATCAGGTGAGATACTGAATCAGGGGTGTAATCGATAATGCAATGAATGAGAATTAATGCATTGAATTTAAGCATATGCTGAATAGGGTTTTTTCCCCCTTTTTTATATTAGCGTATTTACTTAGCAACAGAACTGAAGCCCAACTATGATGCAGTATTTCCTAGGAACAAATGACGCTAATACAAGCTAAACCCTAATATAATTTATACAGTAGTTTGCTTAAAGTTACAACCCAGCACTTTACTCAGTTAATACTACATTAGTATTTTATTATCATAAGACAGTCTAACATTAACCCATTCTTATTTTTATTAACACCTTTATTCTGGGGGGAAAGTATGAGCATGAACTATTTGAAGTACTCCATTTGATCTAAGATCACAACTTTAGTCAATTTCATAATAATGTTCAATTACTGGTTAATTTTCTGTGCTCTTTGCAAATTATCTTTAAAAGCCCTATAAGAACAGAGTGCATTACATGCCAACAAAACTAAACTTTTTAAAAGTCTGTACATGACCCCAGTTGCAAACCTAACTCCACTGACATGTGAACTAAATTCAACAGGGATTACTTCTGAGTAGACATAGTTAGGATTGTGCTGCTAGTAATTATTCAGAATCTGTTGAAATTATGGTGTTTTCTCTTTTCTTGATAGCAAATAGCCGCAGTCTCATATTCACTCAGGTAGGGATGAGCCCCATTTAATTCAGTGACACATGGTATTGAGCAGACACATACAGGATTGCACTGTTCATCACTAAAATGGTGGAGCTCAACACTTATGCTTTAATCTGAATTCCTGAGATGAGCAGCCTGAAGTTTAGGTGCTCAGGAGAACTGATAGATGGAAAAAGCAATTTGCACTTCTTCTCAGTTTCTGCAGGGGACTGGGAAGTAAGTAAGTGCTGCAGTTTCCTCTCTTCCCAGGAGACCTTGTCAGTTTGAGAAATTATCTCCCCTGCAGATCCTCTCACTTTGCGTGGGTGATCTAAGTCACTTCCAGACCATTTCACACAAGCTGAGAAAAACTATAATGTACAGTAGACTGGGTGGGAGATCCCAATCCTTTCACTTCTTGTGGATCTATCAAAAGGAAATAATAATACACACACAATAATAATAGACACACGGTTTCAGAAACACTGTGCTAGATCCTTCCTGCCACTGGGGGAGGAAGCAGTGGCAGGTTGTGGTGGGGACTGATGACATTCTGATGCCCTCAGGGGGAATTATATGAGAAACGTAGTTGCCCCCCCATATAAAAACTAGGTTGGGGTGATGGCGAGAAACTTTCCCCACCTTTACAATTTTCCTCTGAGAGTGACAGAGTATCATCAAGTTCTGCCTCTTCCATTGAGAAATACTGAATTGGTAACGAACAGTCCCCTTGCACTGGTTGCTCCAAGCTATGTACAAATGGATGACCTGTTTCTGAACTTTTTTTTCTTTTAAAGGCAAGAAATAGTTTTTACCAGAACACAGGAAGCCCTACAGTCTTGTAAAAGGACTGCAGATTCAACATGGATCCATGATCCAATTCAGGTCATGATCCATCCAGATCAAACAAGTGGTTCCACTTTGGAATCCAAGTTTGGCATATTACTCCCCTCCCAAGGTATAGCAAGTTGAAATCATCCCCACCCCAGATTAACACTCTAGGCACTGATGCCAGTCTAAACAGTGAAGCCTTGCAGTGGTATATAAGGAGAGAGTGTCACACAGCAGTAGTTAGGTAGCTCTGCTGTCACTAAGAGTAATACATTAATTTAGTAATGGGGTACCTATTGTTGGACTCCAACTTCCATCTGCCCCAGATATCATGACCAATGGCCAAAAATAACGAACCTTGTATTCTTTAAACATCTGGAGGGCCACATGTTCCACATCCCTACATTAATTTAATACATAATATATTTGAGCTGCTGTAAATATGGTATAAATTAGCAGAAGTCAATCCATTAATTCTCTTTTGCATGCATTTACTTTCTTCAGTAGCTGGTAGGCCTATATTGTACAGAACAGAGGTCCAAGCTACATTTGCAACTAGTCCTTAAACAAATATGAATTAATTTTAACCTTTTGGCAAAGTATATTGATAGTATACTTTTTATTATGATATTAAAATGTCTCTCATAAGTAATTATAATTTCAGTTTTGAAGGAGTGTGCATAGCACATGGGATTCAGCTCTGAATGCTAGACTGTGCTTATTTTCATTTTGCAACATTAATTTTCATCTTGTGCTTAAGACTCATCAATGCTTAGGGAGAGGAGATGGATGAGGAACTAGAGAAGAGTGGCGGGGCAGTGAAAGGTGTTAAGGAAATACTTACAGAAAGTCAAAAGGCAAAAGTTTCTGCAAGACTGGGGGCAATGAGATAGACATGTATAGGGGTCACAACTATTCCTAAAACAATAATAGAGTTGGAAGGGACTGAGGATCATCTAGACCAACCCCCTGCAATGCAGGAATACGTAGCTGTCCCATATGGGGATCAAACCTGCAACCTCGGCGTTATCGGCGCCACACTCTAATCCACTGAGCTATAAACTGCACATTTTAGGTTCTTAATGCTCTTAAATATAATATTGGGTTTAGCAACTGCACAAGAGGATGAGAAGCCTCAGATCCCTCCTATGTAGTCAGGGACAATGAGGCAATGGTGCAGAAGGGTCACAACCCACTATGAAGATAATGTCTAAGGGCAGCACCCCAGAATAGAACTTTTGGGGAGAACCCTAAAGTGAGCCTACAAGGGGGTGGAGAATCTGCTGAAATGGGACCTGTTAGTTCTGATGAATGGTTCTTTATTTATTCTTCTCACTTATGAAAATCAAAATCAACATTCCTTGTGTCTGAAATCACTTTAGAATTTTTGAAAATGTTCTTCTATTATCCTCAGATGTTTCATGTCCTCTTACTGCAGAAATGTATGCATCATAGAAATAGACTGCATAGATTCAGATAACACTGGTCAACAACAAATTTGTTGTCTGCGTTTTTTCAGCTGATTTAGGACGAATCTGATGCGCTGAATACAAAAATCACATTGGTTTTGCTCAATCAGGTCAAGTTTTTGAGCTATGGCCACATGTATTTTTTTCGTTTTTGTTCACATGTACGCTTGTGTGGAGCATTTTAGAAGAAGTTGGTGGGGGTAAAATGCCATGTCGAATAATTGTGTTTATTGGAAATGATTATTTTAATGACAAGAAGTATTCAGGTCCGATAGTTCTGGGTGATTATGTCGATTATGTCGTTGATTATGATCAGTTTGAAGTCATAAAACCTCGAAATCTTCCATAAATTGGTGCGGCAAAGCATAAAGTTGGGGGATCAAAACTAAGTTAATGGGGCAGCCATGCTCAGCATTACACAAAGAAGGACTGGCCTGTGCGGGAAGAATTGCTGCCTTGCAAAAAAAGGAACGGCATCAACGACCCTCTGGTGGGCAGAGACAGAATACTCTTCCTGCCGCTTCACATCAAGCTCGGCTTAATCAAGCAGTTCACCAAGGCTCTGGACAAGGATGGTGACTGCTTCACTTACTTGTGCCAGGCTTTTCCAGGATTGACCATGGAGAAGTTGAAAGCTGGCATCTTTGACGGTCCTCAGATCCATCAGCTCATCAGAGATCCAGAGTTCGGAAACTCAATGAACGAAGTGGAACTGGAAGTGTGGAAGGCATTTGTTCTGGTAGTGAAGAACTTTCTTGGCAACAATAACGCCAGAAACTACGCAGAACTTGTCAACATGCTGACTGCTTTCAGAAACATGGGCTGCAACATGAGTGTCAAGATGCACTACATATTTTCACATATGGACCAGTTTCCTGAGAACCTGGGTTCAATGAGTGACGAGCAGGGGGAGAGATTCCATCAGGACATGAAAGAGATGGAGACCAGGTATCAGGGTCGCTGGGACGCAGTCATGATGGCTGACTACTGTTGGACTCTGAAGAGAGACCTCCCTGCTGCTGAGCACTCCTGGAGTTCCAAGAAATGGAAGTTCAAGCCCTGAAGTTTGAAAAATGGTGAAGCAACATGCAATTTACGTGTACTTACCTTTATCAATGCCCACCATTCAGTTTACAGTAATCAATTCTATCAGGTAATCAATATATGTTGTTGAAAAAACATTTTTTTTCTCTTGAAAACATATTTAGGATGATATGTGTTGACAAAAATCAGCTGATAATGCCACAAAAATGTAATCGATTTTCTCACAAGATCTGATTTTTTTCAAATCAACATAGCACAAAAACCTGACCTGATGGAGAGAAATAGATGCCATTTCCTGATTCAGCAGTGCAAAAATACCCTAAATCAGTTGTAGAAATCTAGACAACATTCAAAAAGTAAAAATTGTTGCCCAGTGTAATAAGCGGATGGCCCTCAAATTTATTAGTGCTAAAAAAAAAAGTCATGTTACTATGAAACAGCTCTATGCTCTGCCTTCTAATGTCAGCGTCCTGCAATCAAAAAAGGAATTACAGGTGGCAAATGAAAAGATGGGAGTACATCATTATTAAAGGATATACCTTACATAAATATATTCATGCTGGTTTTAGCTCTTGACAAAAATAGCATTCCAATAACCTTGACATTATTTTCCTATTTGCTAAAAATGTGATAAACTTTTCAGTTGAAAAGTAAACCTAGGTTAACTCCTAACTCCACTTACCTGGGAGAAAGCAGCCAGGTCATTATGACTTTGCGGGTCTGTTCACAGATTAATGTTTATCCCTTGATTTTTCATCATTTTTTGACTTACGACTAGATGATTTTTGGTTGAATATGTGACCCAACTACATCAAAAAATAATATGGGTACGCAGTACCGGCACTTCTCTTTTTTCAAACGTTAAAAATGTGGCACTTACTGTAACAACTTCATGGTGAGTTCTGGCACCTTTTTTCTCTTTTTAAAAAAGGCACTGCCTTTCACTCATCCCCCCTGCAATCCCCAGACCTAGTTCCTACTACTCAGAAGGAAATGCCATTGAGTTTGATGGGATTTACTCCCAGGTGCAGACTCCCTGAAATATTGATTTCCATGGGTCTTCTCTGAGTCTGGATGTTGGCTATCACCCATTATTTCCCAGTACATTTTAGTAGGTCATGCCCATTTTGCTGTTTTGTTACAACACACAATAGCACTGATTATTGCTGTGGTTATATTTCTGGTTTCAATGTCATACATTGTGCTCTGGGCTAATATTTTATATTCCTGTGGTATGACCAAATGTTAAAGATTTGGGGTATAAAGAATCCTAAGTGCAATAAAACAAATATTTATTACCTCCATTGCAAAAAGAAAGTAATAATAACTTGCCAAAGGGAGAATTGTTCTTTTGTTAATGCATGTGGTCCTCAGATTTGAGCAGTATATTATTCCATTTTTGCAATGTTCATAATCTTGTTGTCTTCAAAGCCAGTCAAGATTTGTTTGCTGTTGGTATTTGTCAAGTGTGAAGATTTGAACATTATGTTAATCCTGTGAACACAAACTGAGTAAATAAAAGATAAATGTTCCTATTCAATGTTTGCCTGTATTGTGAGATGAAATGGACATATTCAGAATTTGAACTTCAAACCTTGCTGACCACAATAAAATTTTGCATATCAGTTTAGAGCAAATTTGAGACATAGTTGCACTAAATTATTGGCAATACTGTTGGAGTAATGCCTTTGGCTAGTAATTGGCTGCCTTTTCCCTCTGTCTACAAATAAGGGGGGCGCTGTGGTCTAAACCACAGAGCCTCTTGGGCTTGCCAATCAGAAGGTTGGCGGTTCGAATCCCCGCAACGGGGTGAGCTCCTGTTGCTTGGTCCCTGCTCCTGCCAACCTAGCAGTTCAAAAGCACGTCAAAGTGCAAGTAGATAAATAGGTACCACTCTGGCGGGAAGGTATATGGCATTTCCATGTGCTTCTCTGGTTTCGCCAGAAGTGGCTTAGTCATGCTGGCCACATGACCAGGAAGCTGTACGCCTGCTCCCTCGGCCAGTAAAGCGAGATGAGCGCCACAACCCCACAGTCATTTGCGACTGGGCTTAACAGTCCTTTACCTTTACAAATAAAAAAACAGTAAAAAACAAATGATACACAGATACGTATTTTAACTCAGATAACAATCACTTTCAGTTGTGGCAACCATTTCTTTGGTCTCTGTTTATCTCAGAAATATTCTTTAAGTTTCATTTCTTTCAAAATTGGCCTTTTAACATCTGCAAACTGAACAAGATTAAGTAAATTGATTAAAGCCTCTCCAGTGTCATGGTTTAGATTGCCTGGGCCATAGTTTAAATTGATTGTTTTTAAAAAAATGGTTCTCAGAGGAATGCACTAGTGCAAATTACATATTAAGGGAAAGCTTTTGTAATTAGATGCAGTCCTTAGGCACTTATCAACAAGGTAGACCACAGGGAGAAAGTCTGTGTCTGAAATAAAGAAAACACATTGTTTCAGGACAGTTCCCTAATCAAGACTGTGCAAGATTAGCGTTGCCCATGTCAGAAGTGCGAATTTACTTTTAAAAAGCTAAAAAACTTCAATTTTTTTTGGAGAGTTTGCCCCCAAAAAAGCTCGGTGACGTTTGTGTACGGATTTTTACTTTTTGAAATATGGCAACCCCACTAGGGCACCCTCATTGTATTTAATCACAAGATGAATTTAAATAGCCAGTTTATATGGTGGGTGATCAGTGATAGTGTAGTTAGGGCTGCAGAGTTTTTACTGGCGTTACTCCTTTATTTTGGCATATAAAATTTGGTATGAAAAAAATGAATTAGTGATGCTTTTCCTGACATGGAGTTGCAGAACTGCTTCATTTCTGCATAACAGGCTGCTGTTAAAGGAATAAGAACAGGTTTGGTCAGCAAACCTAATAATTCCTGCTAACAAACTTGCAGTTTGTTCCAGTTAAGGGAGCTGGTAGGTCAGTTGTGGAAGAAAGACTACTGAATTCTTTGGAGGATATTCCTACTGGTTTGGATGGCTGCTTTCTTTGTGTCACTGAACTATGAAACAGCCGAGGCATCTTTTCCCTCTGGGCTGGTAGGATTCAGTGATATCAGTCTCTCCCTTTCTCTACTGATACAGACCTTTCTGTTAAGGAAGGAGAGGATCTCTAGAATGCAAATGGGACTTGAATCATGTCAAGGCATAGATTTCTTAGGAATATGCCATAGACAAGGGCAGTAGCAATAATTTTCTCCTCCACTGGCCACTGATAGATTGCTAAAGAGAGAGAAGAGATAAGAGGCCACAGAACTGCATGTTTCCCTATATTAATTTATACAAATAGATTAAAATTGAGAGATAATTAATTTAAATAGAAAAACAGTACATCTCAACATAGTGGTGAAGACTGTGGTGATGTGACAATCTGGTGCACAGATCCTGCCTGTTGATGAACACCTTCAAGGCCCCTAGTCTCTCTTCTAATGGTTCTTTTTCTTTAAACCAGACTTGGACCAGACAGCTCTTCAATAGGACTCCATCAAAGACAGCTCTGTTCTCTATGAGGTTAGGACACATGGTCATCCATTGAC